CATAACTGCAGACTGAAGGCATGCTCTGGAAGTGAATACGAGACGCTAGGAGAACATCTAATGAGGACCTGACCAGGAGAGCTTCCCTGAGGAAGAGCACATGAATTGGGAGTCTAAGTGGTAAATAGGAGTTCACCAGTGATCGAGGCAGGGGAGGCAGAGGGCAGAACATTTTTAGAGGCCCCGAGGCTGCTAGCCTGCTCAGAAAGAAAGTCAGAGGCTCAGGAGAAAGAGAGGCTGCAGCGGCAACAGGAACCCTGTTCTTCAGGTTCTTCTGGTCCAGAATGAGGATTTTAATCTTTTTCCTAAATGCAATGGGAAGCAACTAAGGAATTTTGAGCAGAGAAGTATTATGCTCATGTCTGGTTTTTTTTTTCAATCTTTTTGAGAATGAAATAATGCCATTTGCAGCAACATGGATGGACCTAGAGGTTATCATACTAAGTGAAGTAAACCAGACGGAGAAAGACAAATACCATATGATATCGCTTACATGTGGAATCTAAAGTAAATAAAGATACAAATGAACTTATTTTCAAAACAGAAAGAGACTCACAGACATAGAAAACAAACTGATGGTTACAAAAGGGGAAACGGGGGTGGAGGGAGGGATAAATTAGGAGGTTGGGATTATCATATACATTCTACTATATATAAAATAGGCAACCAACAAGGACCTACTGTATAGCACAGGGAACTCTGCTCAATATTTTGGAATAACCAATAAGGTAAAAGAAACTGAAAAAGAATATATATGTAAATGAATGAATACAGGAATGAATCGCTGTGCTGTACACCTGAAACTAACACAATATCGTAACTCAACTATACTTCAATTAAAAAAGAAAAGCACCTTTTTGTTGCAATTTGTCTTTGGGCCGGGAGGTACAGATGGGAAAAAGCCGTAAGGAGGTCACTGCAGGAGTCCCGTTGAAAGGTGACTGAGTTTACATCTGTGGTCCTGGAGATGGAGCACATAGCTCTGAGAGACGTTTAGAAGGTAAAACCCATAGGGCTTGAGGTCTCAGAGAGCTTCTCCATGTCTACACCCCATTTCTGAGCTGCTCTCAATTCCTACGGGAGATTTTCCCTGTCGTCTCAATTAAGCCAGACTAATGAGGGATGTGGGGAGCTGAAGTCAAGGCTCCATTAGCTTCCGGAACAGGGGGGCTACAGGGTGCCGAGGAGCGCTAGGCTCTTCAGAATTTGGGTAGGGTGAGCAGGAGAATCGGGGAGGCCCTGGAGGTTACTGTGGCGATGCCAGGGGAAGCTGTGGCTGGACACCAAGGGTGACGGTGGTGCAGGGCCTGGCCTTGAAGGCTTTGCATCCTCTGAGCGCAGCTGAGAGCTGGAGATATTTAGGCCAGGAGACACCAGTGTTGCCCTTTAGAAAGCTCACTCCTGCACTAGAGAGGCATCTGCCTGTCCACCTGTGTCCTCTGGCCCGTGGGGTGCTGCACTCCTCACACATGTGTCTTGCCAGGATTTGGACTGGTGTGGTGTATTAGTGGCCAGCACAGGGCTCACTCCCTCGTCCTCCTCCCTCCCCAGAGAGTCCTGCAAAAGAATTTAGAGCTTGGAAGGGAAGCAGGGAAAAGCTGTCCTCTTGAGAATCGCTCCAACCCCACCAAGACTGGAAAATACGTTTCAAGATGCTTCAGAAAGAAAACACACACACACAGGCAAAATAAGTAGCTCCCAGGTTAGCCCAGTACATTTGCAGTTACAGGCAAAGAAGGTGTGTATCAGAGCAATGAGATGACTTCCCCAAGTTCACCGGCCCTGAAGTGCCAGAGCTGGGACTAAAACCTAGGTCGGCTGACCCCCCCGGGCTGCAGCGCCTTGAGGATCACCCATCCATCCGCAGATCTATTCCTGTACCCACTTTTCTGTTCAGCACACACGGAACACCTGCCATTTGCTGGTTCCCTCACAACACTCACAGTCTGCAAAGCTGATGTGATCATACCAACTTCTTTAAGTAATTGTGTTTGTAGTCAGAGCCAAGCTCGAATTCCAAGTTTTCCAATTACTGAATGATCTGGGTCTAGTCACTTAATTTTTCTGAGCATCCCTAAAAATGAGAATGAAGAGGACCTATGCTGATGAGAATCTGTGATGATTTAAAAGAGAATATGGGCAGCGCCTGGCCTTGAGAAAATGCTAGCGCAGATCTGTCTTTGACGTTGAAAGACCTTTGTCCAAAGCCGAGAGTCCGGGTGAAATACTGAAGTCAACCAGCAGGTGGCAGCCTACCCCGGCTTTAGGAGAGCACATCCTTGCGGATGTGTTGACGGAATGAGGGGCTCCCAGGCTCACAGACACTTTCAGGAAAACACCTTCTCTACTGTCACTCTAATCCCTCTTTCGAGGAGGGGCTGACACCCAGCCCAGGGCAGCAGGGCATGGCAAGCACCTCTTCTGCTCTTTCCTCCCCCTCTGCTACACAAAGCCTCCTGTCAACAACCACAAACCCTCTTGCTTATCACCTCTTACAAATGTACGCTGTGTGGGGAGGGGAGGGGAGGACAGAGTGGGGACAGGGAAGCAGGGTTTCTGGCCCACGTATCCAGTCCCCACTCAGATTCTGCAAGGACCCCTGGCGAGGACCCCCCTTGCTCCACTGTATTGATGTCCCATCACCGACTCACTTTTGCCTGCTAACCCTGATTGCTGCTTGTGAAGGTCAAGCTCACACATTTTCTCCTGATCTATGTCTGCTCCTTTGTCTTGTCCCTGGCCCCGCAGCAACAAGGCCTCTGTCCTCCTTCCCAATCGCTTCTCTCTGCAGACAGAGTGAGGCACGTCTAGAATTGGGGGTTAGTTCCTATTGCCATTGGTCGCTGTTGTTTTCCTTTCCCTTCACCTCTAAAGCCTGGTTTAGATGCCGATCCCTCCAGATTATCCTGAGCAGCTTGAACAGCATTGAAAATGAAGCCAAGGACCCTCTGTCCCCCCAGAGCCATCCTCCTGAAATGCTGAGTTGTGTCATCTCATTCCACTGCTTAAAGGCCTCCAAAGCTCACCTTCCGGCTTAGAGCAAAGCCAAGGTGTCACAGTGGCCTTTGAAGCCCCGAGTGATCTGTGCCCTGCTGCTTCCCTGACCTCAACCCCTCTCTCAGGATGTGCTAACACACTGGCCTCCTGCCGTTCTTCAAACCCAGCAAGCACTCTCCCACTGCAGACCCTTGGCCTGTAGCACTCCGCCACGCCAACCTCCCCCCCCATGCATGGCTCACTTGTTCATGTTCTTCAGGTGTCCTCCCAATGTCACCTTCTCAATGAGCCTTTCCCTCACCTCCTACGTAAACACACACTTGCATACTCACATGTGCAAAAACACATGCACACATGCCTTCCCATCCCCAGTACTCTTCTTTATTTTTCTCCATAGCACATAATTTCACCGGACAGACATACTACTGGTTTACTTAATTGCGTGTATGTTTTCCAGAAATCAAGCTCCGTGACAACAGGGACTTTAAATGCGTTTCCCCTCTGCTGTATCCCCAGCACCTAGAATGGAGCCTGTCCTGTTTTTCTCAGTCACTACATGTTTACGGAATACATGATCAGACCTGAGAGGAGAGGTCTATTAGCCTCACCTTATTTTTCTATTCAATTCACTGAGTATTGACTTTGTCCCCAGATCATCATTGTAAATGGAAACAAACAAACTCAGAAAAGAAGTAACTTCTCCAAAGTGGCCATGCAGTCAATTTGGATTTACGCTCAGTTCCCGTTCACCCACCTCACTGCCTTAACAGGTCAGAAGCTAATGGTGGGATTTAAAGAAAAAGGAAAGGAATTGCTCTATCAAGAGCCCCAGACAGCAGCCTCTCCTAGGGAGGGACAGGCTATGGGCGGAGATTGTCTCACAGCCAAGGAGGGAGAAATCCAATAGGACATTTAGAGGAAAAAAACACCATAAGTATCAGCCATTTCAAAGACAGGGGATAATACGTGCCCAGTGAAAATTACTTCTGCAGGGACTCTCCACACATGTGGTCTCTTGCAGAGCATCCTCCAGTTTTGGACAGAGGTCCTACCACTCCACCACACAGAGAACCCTCATTTCTCAAGGATTGATGGGAAGTGAGCATCAAGGAGCAGCTGACCGCTCAAGCCTTTTATTTGCAGGCGTTAACTTTGAAAGGTTACTAAAATAACAGAGAAAAAGAAAGAGAGAAAGGGAATTTTCCAGGTATGGTAGGAACATCACTAAACTGGATTCACCTAGCTGTGGGTTCAAAAGCTTCTCCAAAAAGTGCCTCTGTTTTCCAGTGCAAAATGAGGCCTGGATTATCCCCAGAGGCATTTAGCTTTTCCGTGTATATATTTCTCCACAATCAAGGTCTTCTAAGCAATTAGCATTAGAGAGAGTAGACCAGGCCCCAGGTGTGCAAATGAAATCTGGGAGAGAGGGACATAGCAGACCCAGCTCAGAAGAGGCAGAAGACCACACTCCACCTGGGCACCTTTCAGGTGAGCATCAGAGTCAGGTATGAAAAGGCATCTATCTCCACCCAAAAGCCCAGTTCAGGGTAGCAAAGAGCTTCCAACTCAGGGCAACACAGGGTTAGCTCCAGAGTGGGCTACAAATTCCATGAGGGCATGGACTGCTCTGCTGTGTTCACATCCACAGGACATGGAGCTTGAACCCAGCAGCTGCACAATTAATGTTTATTTATTAAGAAGTCAATTTGTAATAGCTGCCTGGACGTTACTGGGAAGGACAGTGAGGTCACAACCAGGCCCATTCGAAAAGAAGGGTGCGCTCAATTAATAGACGTTTCATTAATATATTTGTCATTCTTTGAACAGTGCATATTAGACAATCAGGATAGTGGGAAGACGACAATCCCCAGCTCTTTAGAGAGAGAAAAATGGAATAGTAAGCAGGTACGTAACCTCTGTCTCAAAATCTCTGAAGGTCTGTCATGGAAAGGAAAGGGCAGACATTCTGTTAGGTGACAGAGGAAAGAACGAGGGTCCAATGGTTAAATCTACACGGCGACAAATGGCACTCAGATAAGAAAAGAAATTGCAGTGAGCAAAGCCATCCAGAGAACAGGCAGTCGTAGAAGCAGCGAGCCCCTGATACTGGAGGGATCCCAGGTCTTGGTAGTGGTTAGACATTAAACAGAGTGGTATAAGGTCCCTTCCAGACTCAAAACAGACTTACTCTGTACCTCTGGTTCAGTCAGTTGTTTCATACAAGGCGTCCAGAATGTAGTTCTACTCCAGGCTTTCAGGCTCCATCCTGAGTCTCTAATACAACACGAGGAAGAGCTGTCAAGAAAGAGGTAAGACAGTGAAGTCAGTCAGAAAGAGAAAAACAAATATCGTATACTAACGCATATGTGTGGAATCTAGAACAATGGTACAGATGAACTGGTTTGCAAGGCAGAAATAGAGACACAGATGTAGAGAACAAACAAATGGACGCCAAGGGGGGAAAAGCAGCGGGGCGGGGGGATGAATTGGGAGAGTGGGATTGACATATATACACTAATACATATAAAATAGATTACTAATAAGAACCTGCTGTATAAAAACTAAATAAAATTTTAAAAAAGAAAGAAAGAGTTAAGACACTACAAAACCCAGATATTGTTCTTAAGAAGAAAGTGGCCGTCTGGGAAGACAGGAGGGGTGAAGAAAAACCAGAGAGCTGCCTGTCTCTCTGCTCAGACAGAGCCCTTCCTCCGGGGAACACCCTGGGGAGGAGCCATATTTGCAACCTGGCAACACCATGAACTCCTAAGATTTCTGGGTTTAATTAGTTTCTCCGAAGCAAGCTCCTTACAGAAAAAGAAATATGCAGCCTCAACCATGACTCATTGCCAGAGAATCTTACTGCCTTGCCCCCCTGGGCCAGGATTTGCTACAAGAGACTGCTCAAGGCCAAATTGCACTTTCTAAACTTCTCTTAGGAAATTATAGGAGGTTTGCTCAAAGACACAGTCTCCATAAAGGAGATCTTAAGTGTAAAACATATAGAATATTATCATTCAGCTCCTTATCTCAGTCACCACTTCATCCTTTCTTCCCCACTTAAGCTAAATACCACAAGCATTCAAATGGAATTTAAATGGCTTCGTGTACAGCATATAATACACGTTTTTAATACTAAGTCTTGAGATCAATCATAAAAAGACCACTGGGCAAGGAGCTAGAAGAGTGCCTCTCCAACCAGACTGCAGGTGTGGAGAGGGCAGGAATCATTCCTTGGCAAACTCTGGCAAGGAAGATAGAGATATGCTCAACCAATGAATGATGGCTTCAAGCTCTGGCTCTGCTGCAGAACTAGCCGTGTGACCTTGGTTAAGTTACATAACTTCTCTGAGCCACAAATGCTTTCATCTATAAATAAGAAATAATAATACCTACCTCGAAGGATTACAACAAATGCAACGATGTGTTTGCAATAATGTGTATGCAACAGCAGAAGCAAGAAGAGCTACAGTCCTGCAGCCTGTGGAACAAAAACCACATCCACAGACAGACAGACAAGACGAAAAGGCAGAGGGCTATGTACCAGATGAAGGAACAAAAAGAACCCCCAGTAAAACAACTAAATGAAGTGGAGATAGGCAACCTCCCAGAAAAAGAATTCAGAATAATAATAGTGAAGATGATCCAGGACCTCGGAAAAAGAATGGAGGCAAAGATCGAGAAGATGCAAGAAATGTTTAACAAAGACCTAGAAGAATTAAAGAACAAACAAACAGAGATGAACAACACAATAACTGAAATGAAAACTAACACTAGAAGGAATCAACAGCAGAATAACTGAGGCAGAAGAACGGATAAGTGACCTGGAAGACAGAATGGTGGAATTCACTGCTGCAGAACAGAATAAAGAAAAAAGAATGAAAGGAAATGAAGACAGCCTAAGAGACCTCTGGGACAACATTAAACGCAACAACATTCGCATTATAGGGGTCCCGGAAGGAGAAGAGAGAGAAAAAGGACCCAAGAAAACATCTGAAGAGATTATAGTCGAAAACTTCCCTAACATGGGAAAGGAAATAGCCACCCAAGTCCAGGAAATGCAGCGAGTCCCATACAGGATAAACCCAAGGAGAAACACGCTGAGACACACAGTAATCAAATGGGCAAAAATTAAAGACAAAGAAAAATTACTGAAAGCAGCAAGGGAAAAACGACAAATAACATACAAGGGAACTCCCATAAGGTTAACAGCTGATTTCTCAGCAGAAACTCTACAAGCCATAAGGGAGTGGCATGATATACTGAACGTGATGAAAGGGAAGAGCCTACAACCAAGATTACTCTACCCGGCAAGGATTTCATTCAGATTCGATGGAGAAATCAAAAGCTTTACAGACAAGCAAAAGCTAAGAGAATTCAGCACCACTAAACCAGCTCTACAACAAATGCTAAAGGAACTTCTCTAAGTGGGAAACACAAGAGAAGAAAAGGAACTACAAAAACAAACCCAAAACAATTAAGAAGATGGTCATAGGAACATACATATTGATAATTACCTTAAACATGAATGGATTAAATGCTCCAACCAAAAGACACAGGCTTGCTGAATGGATACAAAAATAAGACCCATATATATGCTGTCTACAAGAGACCCACTTCAGACCTAGGGACACATACAGACTGAAAGTGAGGAGATGGAAAAAGATATTCCATGCAAATGGAAATCAAAAGAAAGCTGGAGTAGCAATACTCACATCAGATAAAATAGACTTTAAAATGAAGAATGTTACAAGAGACAAGGAAGAACACTACATAATGATCACGGGATCAATCCAAGAAGAAGATATAACAATTATAAATATATATGCACCCAACATAGGAGCACTTCAATACATAAGGCAACTGCTAACAGCTCTAAAAGAGGAAATTGACAGTAACACAATAATAGTGGGGGACTTTAACACCTCACTTACACCAATGGACAGATCATCCAAACAGAAAATTAATAAGGAAACAGAAGCTTTAAATGACACAGTAGACCAGATAGATTTAATTGATATTTATAGGACATTCCATCCAAAAACAGCAGATTACACATTCTTCTCAAGTGCTCATGGAACATTCTCCAGGATAGACCATATCTTGGGTCACAAATCAAGCCTTGGTAAATTTAAGAAAATTAAAATTGTATCAAGTATCTTTTCTGACCACAGCACTATGGTACTAGATATCAATTACAGGAAAAAAGTTTGTAAAAAATACAAACACATGGAGGTTAAACAATAAACTGCTAAATAACCAAGAAATCACTGATGAAATCAAAGAGGAAATCAAAAAATACCTAGAAACAAATGACAGTGAATACACGACGACCCAAAACCTACTGGATGCAGCAAAAGCAGTTCTAAGAGGGAAGATTATAGCTATACAAGCCTATCTCAAGAAACAAGAAACATCTCTAGTAAACAATCTAACCTTACACCTAAAGCAACTAGAGAAAGAAGAACAAACAAAACCCAAAGTTAGCAGAAGGAAAGAAATCATAAAGATCAGAACAGAAATAAATGAAATAGAAACAAAGAAAACAATAGCAAAGATCAATAAAACTAAAAGCTGGTTCTTCAAGAAGATAAACAAAATTGATAAACCATTAGCCAGACTCATCAAGAAAAAGAGGGAGAGGACTCAAATCAATAAAATTAGAAATGAAAAAGGAGAAGTTACGACAGACACCACAGAAATACAAAGCATCCTAAGAGACTACTACAAGCAACTCTATGCCAGTAAAATGGACAACCTGGAAGAAATGGACAAATTCTTAGAAAGGTATAACCTTCCAAGACTGAACCAGGAAGAAATAGAAAATATGAACAGACCAATCACAAGTAATGAAATTGAAACTGTGATTAAAAATCTTCCAAGAGGGCTTCCCTGGTGGCGCAGTGGTTGAGAGTTCGCCTGCCGATGCAGGGGACACGGGTTCGTGCCCTGGTCCAGGAAGATGCCACATGCCGTGGAGCGGCTGGGCCCGTGAGCCATGGCCGCTGAGCCTGCGCGTCCGGAGCCTGTGCTCCACAACGGGAGAAGCCACAACAGTAAGAGGCCCGCGTACCACAAAAAAAGAAAAAAATCTTCCAAGAAACAAAAGTCCAGGACCAGATGGCTTCACAGGTGAATTCTATCAAACATTTAGAGAAGAGCTAACACCCATCCTTCTCAAACTCTTCCAAAAAATTGCAGAGGAAGGAACACTCCCAAACTCATTCTATGAGGCCACCATCGCCCTGATACCAAAACCAGACAAAGATGCTACAAAAAAAGAAAATTACAGACCAATATCACTGATGAATATAGATGCGAAAATCCTCAACAAAATACTAGCAAAAAGAATCCAACAACACATTAAAAGGATCATACACCATGATCAAGTGGGATTTATACCAGGGATGCAAGGATTCTTCAATATATGCAAATCAATCCATGTGATACACCATATTAACAAACTGAAGAATAAAAACCATATGATCATCTCAATAATTGACAAATTGAAGAATAAAAGCCATATGATCATCTCAATAGATGCAGAAAAAGTTTTTGACAAAATTGAACACCAATTTATGATAAAAACTCTCCAGAAAGTGGGCATAGAGGGAACCTACCTCAACATAATAAAGGCCATATATGACAAACCCACAGCAAACATCAGTCTCAATGGTGAAAAACTGAAAGCATTTCCTCTAAGATCAGGAACAAGACAAGGATGTCCACTCTCACCACTATTATTCAACACAGTTTTGGAAGTCATAGCCACAGCAATCAGAGAAGAAATAGAAATAAACGGAATACAAATTGGAAAAGAAGAAGTAAAACTGTCACTGTTTGCAGACGACATGACACTATACATAGAGAATCCTAAAAATGCCACCAGAAAACTACTAGAGCTAGTCAATGAATTTGGCAAAGTTGCAGGATACAAAATTAATGCACAGAAATCTCTTGCATTCCTACACACTAATGATGAAAAATCTGAAAGAGAAATTACGGAAACACTCCCATTTACCGTTGCAACAAAAAGAATACAATACCTAGGAATAAGCCTACCTAGGGAAACAAAAGACCCATATGCAGAAAACTATAAGACACTGATGAAAGAAATTAAAGATGATACCAACAGATGGAGAGATATACCATGTTCTTGGATTGGAAGAATCAATATTGTGAAAATGACTATACCACCCAAAGCAATCTACATATTCAATGCAATCCCTATCAAATTACCAATGGCATTTTTTATGGAACTAGAACAAATCATCTTAAAATTTGTATGGAGACACAAAAGACCCCGAATAGCCAAAGCAATCTTGAGGGGAAAAAATGGAGCTGGAGGAATCAGACTCCCTGACTTCAGACTATACTACAAAGCTATAGTAATCAAGGCAATATGGTACTGCCACAAAACAGAAACATAGATCAATGGAACAAGATAGAAAGCCCAGAGATAAACCCACGCACCTATGGTCAACTAATCTATGACAAATGAGGCAAAGATATACAATGGAGAAAAGACAGTCTCTTCAGTAAGTGGTGCTGGGAAAACTGGACAGCTACATGTAAAAGAATGAAATTAGAACACTCCCTAACACCATACACAAAATTAAACTCAAAATGGATTCGAGACCTAAATGTAAGACCGGACACTGCAAAACTCTTAGAGGAAAACATAGGAAGAACACTCTTTGACATAAATCACAGCAAGATCTTTTTTGACCACCTCCTAGAGTAATGGAAATAAAAACAAAAATAAACAAATGGGACCTAATGAAACTTCAAAGCTTTTGCACAGCAAAGTAAACCATAAACAAGACAAAAAGACAACCCTCAGAATGGGAGAAAATATTTGCAAACGAATCAGCGGACAAAGGATTAATCTCCAAAATATACAAACAGTTCATGCAGCTCAATATTAAAGAAACAAACAACCCAATCCAAAAATGGGCAGAAGACCTAAATAGACATTTCTCTGAAGAAGACATACAGATGGCCAAGAAGCACATGAAGAGCTGCTCAACATCACTAATTATTAGAGAAATACAAATCAAAACTACAATGAGGTATCACCTCACACCAGTTAGAATGGGCATCATCAGAAAATCTACAAACAACAAATGCTGGAGAGGGTGCGGAGAAAAGGGAACCCTCTTGCACTGTTGGTGGGAATGTAAATTGATACAGCCACTATGGAGAACAGTATGGAGGTTCCTTAGAAAAGTAAAAATAGATTTACCGTATGATCCAGCATTCCCACTACTGGGCATATACCCAGAGAAAACCATAATTCAAAAAGACACATGCACCCCAATGTTCATTGCAGCACTATTTACAATAGCCAGGTCATGGAAGCAACCTAAATGCCCATCGACAGACAAATGGATAAAGAAGTTGTGGTACATATATACAATGGAATATTACTCAGCCATAAAAAGGAATGAAATTGAGTCATTTGTTGAGACGTGGATGGATCTAGAGACTGTCATACAGAGTGAAGTAAGTAAAAAAGAGAAAAACAAATATCGTATATTAACGCATGTATGTGGAACCTAGAAAAATGGTACAGCTGAGCTGGTTTGCAGGGTAGAAGTTGAGACACAGATGTAGAGAACAGACATATGGACACCAAGGGGGGAAAACTGCGGTGCGGTGGGGATGGTATTTTGCTGAGTTGGGCGATTGGGATTGACATGTATACACTGATGTGTGTAAAATTGATGACTATTAAGAACTTGCAGTATAAACAAACAAACAAACAAAAAAAACAACTAATACTAAACTTTCATTAGGTTATTTGTATGGAAATATTTTATATAAATGTTTCAGACATTACATGAAATTTCTAAAAATCTTCTATGTTCTTGTATAATAAGTCATAATTCTAGTTATTACTTTAAAATGTATATCTCAGAAATAACTAAATTTCCTTGTCAGCTGCATTGTTATGAACTTTCATCAAATCTTTAACCGTGGTCATTTTTAAGTCTTCTGTCTTTTACAGTCAGTTCTGGGTGGACTCTGATTTTTTTGCAAAAATGTTCCTATAAGAGGGTTTCATCTCCAAGGAATTCATGGAAAAGACTCTGACAAGTACAGGTCTCTGGTAACTGACCCTACTGCTGAACTGAATGAGTCAGCATTTTCAGAGCTCTAATGGAAAACTGATGAAATCATAACAGTGCTCACAAAAGAGCAAGATGAAAAAAAATAATTACATGGGACGGAGTGAACTGATGAGGATGTTTATAATTTTTGTGACTTTCTGTTTCAATAAAAAAAAACATCCCACGAGGACTCAGAGGCAAATAATAATAATAATGTGTATGCCATAAAGTGTCCCAGAAAGTGTCTCGCACAGACTTAGGGCTCAGCAAATGGTATCCTCTCCCTACTCCCTAGATCCACACTGCACACACTGACTGACGGAGCTGATGTGAATGCTTGCAGTTAATTTAGGAAGAGCAGACAGGTGAGTTCATGTGCCTTGGGTTCAGGTAGCTGCTCCATGGAAGAGTCTGGGGCAGAGGGAGAGAAGGAAATCTAAAATTTAAGTATACCTCTGCTAACTGTGAGAGGCAGCTAACACTCATAATGTGTTTTTCGTCCACACTATGATTTTTAATTCAGTGTTTCAGCTCCAAAAAGCAAAGTCCCTGGATCTGCCAGAGGATTCACGTAAGATTCACACATCTGACAGCTTTTCATTAGTAAAACTGGGTACACAGCCACAGGAAATTCCACTCAGAGTCACTTATACTTAAAGGAACCACAAAATAAATTCCTATTGTGTCTGGTCCGCCCTCCCTGCCCCCGCTGAGTTTATTTCTGCAAATGAATGTGTATCTGATGCCGTTATGAGGAGGAGAAACATATGTCATCCAGCTCGTCCCCTCACCGCCTTAACTGCAAGGAAATTAAGGGCCAATTCATTGGCCACTATTCCAGTCATCACAGCTCAGGTCTGGGGCATAAACTATTCCTTCTAGATCCTTCTAAGGGTCTCTGTTCTCTTTTTCATCCCAGTGATTTGATTTTGCTTCTGTTTAATCCATAAACCATCGCAAATCTTTCTGCAAAAAGGTAAGATAGATCTTTAAAATAAGAAAGTGCACACAGGTTCCTAGTGTGGGTTCCCCTAGTTTGAAAACAATATCTGATTTCTCTCCCTCCGAGTCACCATCTTTAAATGAGTGATGATACTAAAAAACAACAACTTCAAACACTTAAAACAGCTCCAGATATATGCCAAGTACTGTTATAAGTGCTTCCCATGTAGAAACTCATGTAATTTTCACAAAAATCCTAGGAGGTAAAAAATGCCATTATGTCCATTATACAAAGGAGGAAACTGAGGCACAGAAAGGTTAGATAACTTCAAAACTACACTCTTGAGGAGGTGCTTTACTTAATGCAATTAGGATTAAATGGAACACTTTAACTTAGAATCTCATGAACTGGGAACCATGAAGACAGCTGTGGATACAGTCAGGCTGCCCTCCATATCCACGGTTCCACATCTGCAGCTCCAGCCAACCACAGATCCAATAGTACATATTTACTGAAAAATGTATTCATGGACCTGTACAGTTCAAACTCGTGTTGTTCAAGGGTCAACTGGACACTTAATACACTGCAAAGGCTGGCAGTGGAGGCTGCCCACACAGTACAGACACGGGTGATAAGGGTAAGGAATAAGTCTTTCCTCTACCATTCAAGTTTCACTCTCAGGAACTGCAGACCCTGACTGTACAAACAACAAAAGCCAAGAGGTTGTTTGCTGTAACTGAGTCAGAAGGGAAGAAGATTCATACACATAAGGGCATGCAACCTAATGTTTTCTCTGCCTACAAGGCAGACACATCATTCTGCAGGCTCTTCCTAACTTGATGCTTTTCCCCCAGTGTGGAGAATTGAGACAGGGTGCTCGAGGTCATTGTGAAAGGAACACCTGCCTCCCCAGCTTCTGACCACAGTCTGTGACTCACACCGTATTCAGGCAAGCTGGTCCTGCTGAGCTGGTCTGTAGAGAAGTGGCTGCTCTCACCTGCGGCTCGGAAAACTATGGTCAGTGGAAGGCAGTCTCCTGCTGGTCTGCATTCCAGAGTCTCCAGAATTCTAGGGGTCACTTCAGGATTCTTCCCCTTTGGACCAAGACTCAAAAAGAGATTCTTTCCTGGTCTTAAAATTCCATCACCTTCAGGGCTTCAAAATGACCTACAGGATAGAAATGCATCTTCATTGAGGTGTGTACACAAGTTGTCACTTCTCCCAACCTTTAGTGACATCATTGGTGTGGCCACACTGAGGGAGAGAAACCCAGAGACAGGAAGGTGCTCTTTAAGTGACAAAGCAGGACCAGGAAGTGCATCTTGTCCACTCCCAAGAGACTCCTGCTAGCCTGACACTGTCTGCAGAAATAACACTGGACCTTCCTTCTGGTCTCCTCCTAAGTCCCCACTTCCTGCTGCCTGGTTAGTCTCTGCTGGGTGCTTACCTTGCCTGCTGTGCCTGACTCTGACATTTTCGACCCCAATATCTGATAATCAGCCAAAGTTTTAGCATTCCTTTGGCACCTGCTCCCTGCACCAGCATTGGCATTTGGCCCGTAGTTTTCTGTAATGACCCCAACCCAAGCCTGGTGCAGGTCCTGTTTGAACCTATCCCAACACTCAGACCCATGTACCGGCTGATAGGTTTTAAGCTACACTGTCCAGGCTGCCAGAGAAGTCATGGAAAGAAAAATATTGGGATGGAGTAATCACAGGTAGGTGTCTACAGATAGGATGCCAGGAAAGCCCCTTTGGAGGAGACCTTTGAACCTAGACCACTAGTGTGGGCAGGAAGAGAGAAAGGCCCCGAGTGAGAAGCAGCTTGCAGCTTGCCGAGTATGGGTCCAGCGGACACTTCCTGTATCCGACATCGTCTCTGCCATCAGTGTGGCTGCAGTGGACAGGTTGTCCTTCAAGCACGTGCCTCTAAGTCTTAGAGGACCTAGAGGCTAAGTCCTCTAAGCCTCTGCCTCAGGGCTTTCCTTCAGAGCCTGGGAAGCCCACTCAGATCTAACTCAGGAACGTTTCCAAAGTGGGAGGTGGGACATCCCTGGGATCCCTCAACTAGTGAGGGATGGGAGGCCTGGATGAACGCCCGGGCTCCTCTCCTTCCATGGGACAACTCCGAGGCACGTCCCGCAGGCCTTCTCGCAGGAACTCCAGTGGGATGGAGCCATGGCTGCCCACGGCAAGAACTGAATACCAAAGCACACACTGGTCCTGCCCCCCTCCCTTCCTTACCCTGCCCACGCCCTCACTCCTGCATCCTAGGAATACCTGCCAAGCTCTTGTCTCAGGCTGTGCTTTAGGCCTGATAAGCTGAGGTGGAAGCTCATCGTGGCTATAGTGAGAAACAGGAGGGCTATATAAGACCAGGTCCGTGAGGTCAGTCCGAGCCAAACCATAAACGGGCCGTGGAGAAACTTTAGATTTTAGACTGCACTGCCCAGTGGTCAAGATGGTGGAGCCCAGCCTGGGAATCCAGCCCATGGGCCTTCAGGTGGCAGTGGTGGCCAAGGATCTGGCCTGACTGGACCTGGCCTGCGTGAAGCCCGCAAAGATTCAGGGAAGTGACTGGGAGAGGCAGGGAGGGGACACTGAGGCAAAAGTCCGCTTATTGAAATGGGGCCACCTGGGAAGCCGCAAGGTAACGTTCTGACTCAACCCTTATTCGAGTGCCCAGAATTCATCTCTCTAGCACATTGGACATGGCATGAAAATAACCGCAGCTTTCCTGACTGCTGTCTCTTTTCAATCTGCTCAGCAGTTTTCATAATGAGCCCTTTCGTTCTCAAAACGACCGTGTAAGGCATTCTCCCTATTGTATAGATGAGGAAAGTGAGCCCACTAAGCCCTAGAACCAAGACTCGAACCAGACGTACTAGGTTCCAAATTCCATGCTCTGGCCAACCAACTACCCTGCCAGGCTCCAATGGTGCTGCAGCCCGGGTTCGATGTCAACCATTGACCCTGCGGCTATAAGCTTGATAGCTACAGATGGGAGGGGCTGGGAGAGGTGGGAACTGTTTCCCAGCGTCAACATGTACACACAGCACGTGTTCACCACACCATCTGGGGAGAGATGCTCCCTGTGCCTTAAATCACAGCGGCAGTGACCGTGTCCTAGGCGGTCACACTGCAGCTGTCTTTCCATCCTTGAGGAATGTTCCTCAGATTTGTCATCTACTTTTAGGGCCTTAAAGAAAAGGATTCCAGGTCGGGGTGGGCAGACTGCTTAGTTCTTTGACACTTAGAAAATAAACCACCGCCATGCTTATATCTGCAGGGCACACGCCCATTTATAAAACACATTCCAGGGAGTGAAGTCTCAGTGCTGAGCACGGGCAGAACAGGCTGCATGATTCCCACTCCTGAGAGCAAACAGGATCAGAGATGTTGAGAGGCAGGACAGTGCGGTAGAAATGCCAGCCCCCGGCCACAGAGTGAGGAATGCCCACTGTAGCCCAGGCTATGCCCCTGACTGGCCCTGGCTCACAGCTCCCTACTCGCCTTGGACACTGACTTTTCAGGCTGCGGGTTGAAGAGGGAAGAGTCTGCAGAGGCAAGGAGGCTGACTCCCCCAGACAACCCCAGAGAGCAGAGATCAAACCCAAGAGCACCGGGCCGTGATGTGAGCAAGAAATCAATTGGTATAGTGCTCTGCCACAGAGTGTATGGGGTTGTCTGCTGCGGCAGTTAGCCAACCCTGGCCAATACAGTCCCATGAAGCCAAGACGGCTTTCTCCTCTGACCTGAGTCCAGCAGATTCAGCATCTCCGTCTGGTACGTACCAAGCTGGACTTCACTGAACGCGCATTCCTTGGCTTCTGGGATATTCGTTCCTGCCCCCAGTTCTTGCCCCCTTCCCTTCTGCATTGCCCCTGAAATCAGTTAGACAGCAAAGCCATACCCCACCCAGCTCTCCTCCCTGTCAGAGAAGAGCGAAAAGCCAGATGAAAGGGCTCCAGACACAGGCACGGGAGACCTGGTACTGAATTTAGCTTGGCTTCCAATTCACTGTGTCACTTTGAACACGTTTCCTCGGCTCCTTGGTCTAGCTTTCCCATTATTATGAGAATTACAGGGTCAGCCTCACTGATACTAAAGAATCCTGCTCACATTTTTTTTTTTTTTTTTTTTTTTTTTTTTTGCGGTACGCGGGCCTCTCACCGTTGGGGCCCCTCCCATTGCGGAGCACAGGCTCCGGACGTGCAGGCTCAGCGGCCACGGCTCACGGGCCCAGCCGCTCCGCGGCATGTGGGATCTTCCCGGACCAGGGCATGAACCCGTATCCCCTGCATCGGCAGGTGGACTCTCAACCACTGCGCCACCAGGGAAGCCCCTGCTCACATTTTAAAATCCTAAGTAGATCTCTCAAGGCCCAAGAGAGAAGGATGTAGGTTAATTAGTCAAAGCTGCGGGATAATTCACGAAGGTGATTTCCCCAGACTCTGAAGGAAAAAAGATTTCATTGAAGTGGAGAGAACTGTCGAGCTGATGTCATGTTTATGAAGGCAAAAGATCAGACCAGTTCCATATTAGCAAGTCCCAGTGTTGGAGAGGTAGCGGAAGAGAATAGAGAGGCCCCAGGCTGTGGATCTGGACAGACCTGGGTTCAAATCTTGCCTTCACTCCTAAGTGACTGTGATGGCAGGAATTCACTTCACGTTTCTAAGTCTCTGTTTCATCACCTGTAAAGCAGTATATCTCAGAAAGTCGTGGTAATTAAATGAGCTAGTTTGAGTAACACATATTGTTAAGTCGTGGCAGGAACTTCCCTTTACTCTTATGCTAGGGTGAGGGAAGAAGCTAGTTTGGGAAAGCAGGGGGAGCATTTCATTCATTCCTGTATCTGTTCATTTATCTCAACATCATGTGTCAGGAGCTGGCAATACAGAAATGAATAAAGCACAGCCCCCAACCTCAAGAAATTCAGCTTCTAGGTGGAAAGACAGACACACACATAGGTTATTGATCCCCTAGTGTGAACTACTGCATACAAGTACAAGAAATACAGCAGTCCACTTCTAGAAGCATGCCATAGAGAGATAAACGTGTGTCCATGAAAAACACGGACAGCGGTTCCCCCCTTATTTTCGGGGTATACATTCCAAGACCCCCAGTGCATGCCTAAAACCGTGGGTCATGCTGAACTCTCTATACACTATGTCTTGTCCAGCATCATTACTCTTGCACTTTGGGGTCTTAAGGGTGACTTGAACACAAGCACTGAGATACCACAACAGTCAATCCGATAACTGAGACAGCTACTAACTGACTAATGGGTAAGAAGCACTGGACAAATGCGTGATTCACATCCTGGGTGGGACGGAGCAGAACGGCAAGAGATTCCATCAGAACAGCAAGCAATTTAAAAATTACAAATTGTTTATTTCTGGAATTTTTCCATTTAATAGTTTTTGGACTGTCATTGACCACAGGTAACTGAAAGCACAGAAACTGAAACCATGGAGAGCAAGATCACAGATAAAGGGGGACTACCATACAGAGCTGTCCACTGAAATCTGGCTATAAATCTAAAAATTAGGGAAAAAAACTAAATGCCTATCAACAGGAGAGTAAATGAGATGTAGCAGATGAATAACTAGAATCATTAGCGTGTAGTCTCACGAAGATTGAATGAAAAATGCAGTTATTGGATTATAGATACAGGTGGGTACCACCTGACTAGATTTTAAAACACACACAAAATATTTTGTATTTTTCACGGATGTGTGCATTTGTATATATAAAGGTATTTTTCCAGTGGACTAGAACACACATCAAACTCATGAACCTGGTTGCTTCTGGGGAAGGTAGGAAGAAAACGGGTCTGGGGATAATGGTCAAAGGGAACTGTAATTTCACCTGTAGTGTTTCACTAAAACACGTGTCTAAAAAACTAGAAACAAATATGACAAAGCCTTAGCATTTGTTAATCTGGGTAGTGGTAATGTGCATGATATTATTCTTTATACCTTTCTACATTTTTTTTATCTTTCAAAATAAAAGTAATGAAAGCATAGCAATGCATTGTACAAAGAAGAGTGTTAGAAGCGTCCGTCCTTCAGTTAGCCTAAGCTGACCTTGGAGTGAATGTCAGAAGGCCATGGCCAGAGGGCGGGATCAAGGCTGGTAGGGGTCAGTCAGCGGTAATGGAGGACC